GCTGCAGAAACCGTTGCCTTGCCTGCCAACACGACTTGCCTGAAACGGGTCAAGTTAAAAGCCCAGCTGCCAAAGGCCCCTGTTGCAGGAAGCACAGCAGAAGGCAGCTCCACGCAGCACTGACCTGTCTCGAGGCGCTGAGGGGTCCCTCCCCAAGTCCCTGGTACGGGTTTGCCAGTGATGAATCAGAAATTGTCCTGAGCAGCCAGCTGCAAAGAGCTGCTGCAGCATCGCTCTGTCAAAAGCCAACTCCACAAAGCCATGCCGGCACGGGGAGGGCGGCGGGGTTAGTCAAAGCACAAGCAGAGTTAACGAGGCTTAACAGATCACTGAGAGACCTGCTGGGCTGCTTGCATCCCCACATCACAAGCACACAATCTACTGATTAGTTCAAACATCTTCAGTAATCCCAACAATAACCTAAATAAATGAAACTGAAGTCAACATAGGCTTCTTAATATTTATTAATTAATCCATCCGTACAAGGCTGCCAATTAATGCCACACTTGGCTGCAGCACAGGAAGAAACCTACCAGCCATATTGAGCATTTGACAGCCTTGTGGGTACAAAAAAATGCCAGCCACAAAGCTGGGAGGGTACACAGAAAGCAGGTCCACATGTGATCCAAATCCTTCATCCTTCATCCTCTTCCTCAGCCAGTAAGATGCTTGTGAGCTGCTCCTCAGAGACAGTGAGCTCCTGGTAGGCTCCCATGGCCTGACTGAGGTAGACAGCAAGTATATGTTTGCACTGCAAATAAGAGCACAGCCAAGTGAACAGCAGGAGCAAGGCAGGAATGTCATGCTCTATCTGGAAGCCACAAAAGTCCATCCTGGCCAGAATAGGTCTAATCAAGCGCTCATCCCTCACAGGAACATCGTTCCCTCTTGGCACGCCAAGCCCTGGCACAGGCTGGCGCTCCAGCTGCCCCAGGTGGGTTCCACCATCAGAATAATGCAATTCAGGGATCTGACACACAGCAAAGTGTTACTGGCTCCTGCTGCCCTCCCCACAGCTGCAAACCAGTTGGTTCCCCTGAGCCCTTCCTCACTGGCACCAGGTGACCTTCCTCACTGGCACCAGCCCGACTCCGTGTGGCAGTGCCATTAGCGGCAGCAGCCCTCGGTCTGAGAGACCAGGGATTATTATTCACCTCTTGAAAGTCAGAACAGTGTAATTAAGAACAAAAGCCCTCCCTGGCTCTTGTATGGCCTAGCTCCACCCAAACACTGGGACTCCCAGACTAGGCGGTGGGTCAGGCACAGCCTGCGTGGCCAACTCCACGCTCCTGCGCTTGCTCCCTGGGAAACTTCAGGCTGCTCAGGTTCAAGGAGCAGAGCACAGCCTTCTGCCCCGCTCCCTGCCCCAGCCCCAAGCAAAGGCAGACAACTTACCAGAAGACTCTCGCTCTTCTGCAATACAGTAAAACCAAAAGCGGGACATGTGCAGAAGTGGCAGGAACTGTAGCAGGTGTAGAGTTTGCCCGAGCTCCCAAGGACCTGAAACAAAGGCAGTCGGAGAAAGCAGGAGTCAGAGACAGCACTCACTTTTAATTTCTCTAACTCTTAGCCTGTATCTGGCCTGAGGTCCCCTCTGCAACGACTCACAGCATGCAATGGCGAGCAGGTGCCACAACACAAAAGCGTCCCCAAACACTGCGGTGACCCATCGAAGCTTGAAGCTCCTCACCGT